TTATTATTAAATAATTAATAAATTATAATAAATTAATATTTTTAATTATGAACAAGTGGCATGTATATTGATATATTAATACGTGGCTATATTAAATGATAAAAATGCCGCTGATGTGATACATCGTTGCACAAAATTTGAATTTCTCAGATTCTGGGATCCAGCTGGCGACCACTGGTTGCAGACCTGGGACTGGAGTGGAAAGCAATTAAAAAATGAAAAATGAAATTCATTGGGCCTTGGGCTTGGGCCCCTCTCTATTTTATTTGGGACTTTCCGAAGACAGGGTTTTGGACCGGCTTAAAACATTCCCCTGTCGACCTTACCGTCTCCTTCGTAAACAAGGGTTTTAGAAGCATCTTCGACGAGACAGTTTTGAAGGATTCAGAAACCGCCAGGTCTTCCCGGTGAAATTGAGCTCGCCGGAGCTGTAACTGGTCAGTTTTCTAATTTACTCATTGATTAACTTGAGTTTGTTGATCTTTAGCTTAATCTGTCACCAAGAACTCCTATGTTTCTCCATTGTATGTTGGTTTCTTCTTATTCCGGTATAAAGATTAATGGAAGTTTGATTCTTTCTTTATATATTTGTTGCAGAGATCATTGGGGAGGGGGAGGTCATGGCATATGCTCGAGCGCGGGACTTCTTGTTCTGTGAGATATGTGGGACAACGCTGTATTTGGTATCAACCAAGCATGCTGAATGCCCCTTGTGCAAGTCTAGGAAAAACGCAAAAGGTATATCCATTTAGCCTCTAAGTATTGCTAATGAGCATGCCTGCTTAATTTTTCTTATGCATCTCATTTTCTCCTAAATCATATGTGTGGATGGATGAAAATTGTTAGTTTAGTTGAACTGAAAAGTCCAAAAAGAGAAGATAAATGCAATGACCTAACAAAGCATTTAAGTGTTTTAAATCAAAGCATTAATGTTAGAAATTTACTTGAATTTTTGAAGAATTTAAGGTTTTATCCTTGAACTTAGTTGTTGTTATTTGTACTCAATGTCCTGAATTTCCTCTATTCTTCCCCCTCTCCCTGGCCCCCTTTTGATGTACATACTAAAGTTTCCTGCTAAAAAGGTCTCCATTATGGAAGTTTCGTTTTCCCTCTTCTCAAAAGGAGCATCAGTATATTTTGGCAGTACATATCGGAGATTCTTTTTTTCCCTGTATTTTCACTTGTTCTTGGACTGTATCAGAAACAGTTTTCTGTGTATGAATGAGATGTTTTGTGGTTGTATGTGTAGTTGTGTTGTACTACCATGCATGTTCCATGGACTAAAAATTTTCCTTTAATACAATCTGTCTCAAATTGAGAGAAACTGGGATTTAGATACTTGAATTCATGTTTTGTTGCTGTCTTAAGATATCATTTTGGCAGTTAATGGTTGCATGAGTCTTCAATATCTCATGGTGATGGCAATCTAATTTTAGAGGTCCAAAAATTTTTTATGTACTACCTTTCTTTACCATATTTTTGTCTTCTATATTGCTAAAACTTGTCATTGCTTTCTCCAGAGATTCTGGGCAAGGAAATATCATACAGAATCACAACTCAGGTATGCTCAAATCAATTTGTTGATGCATGTATTTTTTTTTTCCCAGCTGATGATTTATGAATGATGGCTACTAGGTTATGCCATTCAAAAAAAAAAAGGATGGCTGCTAGATTATGAGACTAAAACAAGAAAACAACACAAGTCCGCCTGCTAAAAATACTTGAGATTGATCGTGTGCTTAGGCATGTGCATATGAGAGAATAGAGAGAGATGTTTTGTTCAATAAAATGAATATGAATAATACTGTGGATACACAGTTAGTGTAATCAAATGGAAATATATTTAGTCGAATTTCTAGAGTGGGAGAGAGAAGAGATAAAACTATAGTGCCTGAAGGGTTGTCGTGAACAACAAATTTTGACTGGCTTGTGTTATTGAAGTGCTTAACTAGGCTGGCATACCACTGAGAAGTCTTTATTTCCACCTAATAAAGCAGTTCGTCTTTTTCTCTTCTTTTTTATTGGGGGTTGAGGCCACTCTTTGATGTTGGATTGGTTAGAGGGTAGGAGTTAGGATTAGGAGTGCGGCTAGAGGGCTTCATACCTGAGGTTAACCTCAATCAGCTTCTAACATCTGATTGCTCAAGGGGACCATTCGGAGTTACAACAACTGAGCTCAATGTTCTTGCCATGTCTTTGTATTCAGACATATTATTACATCATATATCAATTATCACATAGGCCTTTGGTATTGCAGGATATTAAGAGGGAACTTGGCATTAAACTATTTGACGAAGAGACAGACACTGGGAAATCAGGCGCACGGGTAACTTCAGTAACATGATCAGATAGCAACCGATGACATTTTCAGGAAACTAATTTTTATAGTATTTCACTTTGCAGATGATAAAGAAGGCTTGTGATAAATGTGGAAATCCAGAGCTTGAATACACTACTAGACAGGTAAACATACTCATAATCCTACCTCTCTCTAAAGTCTTATCCTTTTTTTCTCCACAGTTAGTATTATTCCATAATAATTGAACCTGTGTTCACTGTGTCTGCAGATGAGATCGGCGGATGAAGGGCAGACTGTATTCTACCACTGCCCCAAATGTAATCATCAAAGTCAAGAAAACTGAGTTTCTGAGTTGATCTTCCCAATATTGGAGCTTTTGAGCACAGGAATTGTTTGAATGTGTATTTTCACTATTTTGTCATTGATTCAGTTTGTATTTTACACTTAAATCACATGAAAAATTTTTTAGGTTTCCTCTGAAGTACAACAATCAGTTTTTGTCATCCAATATTCTTGTTTCCACTTTCTGGAATTTGGAAGATGAAAACACTGATATACAAAAGGTAGAACTTTTTATAGATCGTGAAAATACACAACTTTTTCTTGTGCACCCCAAATGAAAAACCATGGGTTGAGCACACTTTTCCCAAGACCAAAAATAGCAAATCCTGGAGAAGGAAAGGGAGAATCATGGAGAGAATTACATGTTCACAATATACCAGAACCAAATATGGAGAGAATCATGGTGAAGAAAACATAACGAGCAAACCCGAAACTCATGACACCATCTGACACCATATACCAGAAGCAAATATGATCACAAGCTTTCACTTCAACAGATGCGAAGCAGTCGTCGGAGGCCATCGGTGGCTCCGGCGTCAATTTCAGCAGCCTCTGCATTGCAACTGAGCTTCGGCCTGAGTGAGAACTTCGGCATAGGCAAACTGCTTGGCGGTGGGGAGAGGGTAAAAACCGAACCTGAAAATGTTTCCAGATCATTCATCACAACGTTACGCTCCAGTCTCAGTGATGGTGAAGACAGCACTTTCAACATATTCTTTGGAAGATCGTTCGGATCTGGTCCAAATCCGATAACAGATTCCTTTGCCTCCTCCGTTGCTTCTACTGGTTTCAAATCTTTCTTTTGCTCCTCTCCTTTAGAGGTGAGTGGCTTCGATTTTGATTTCTTCGGCGTGAGAGGTTGATCTCTGGTCCTGTTTGACTTCTTATTGGTAGGAGAGGAAGAGAGTGATCTGCTTCGAGCAAGGAGTGAGTTATGGAGCGGCTGAGAAAGTGGAAGAGGGAGGAGCGGTGGCTGTTGATGGCGGAAGAGGTGGTGATTCATCAGTGAAGCTGAAGCAGAGGGAGGACAAGAGGAAAAAAGAGGCGGAGGAGCAAACAATAGACCTCCATGGATGTTATTCATCGGAGCCAAGCTCTCAACCGGATTCGAAACAAAACCCCACGCAACCCTTTCCGGATTCTTCATTTGCTTGTATGGGGAGACTGATTTATCCAGCGAAGACGACAACATAACCGCCTCCATTTAAAATCTGAAAAGTTCTTCAAATTCCTGGAAAACAAAAGGAAAATTTACAGTATCCAAACAAGATCATAAATTTATCAAATCAAAAGGCGATGATCTTTGTAATAATGAGATCAACACAACCTGAAATGGAGGAAAACTCTACAGATTCTACCAAGGATGAAGAGAAAGAAAGAAAAGAGAAAAAAAAAAGATTATATGAACAAAATTTTACAAAATGCTAAAAAAACTGATCATCAAAAGAAAGATCTTTGATCTCTATGACAAATTAAAACAAAATAAAATAAACTCTATGATCAATCAGATAGATCCAAAAATGGATCAAATTTAAAACACCCTTAACCTAAGAATGTTTTGATTCTAATTTTTATTTTTGTTATACTATGCAAAAACTTTCACGACTATTGCATTCAACCCCTGCCTCGTTTTATAGAACGAAAAAAAGGAATACCTCCAACGGCTACTTTATTTTTAATGTTTTTTTTTTATTTTTTTTAATTTATGTTTTTAGAACAAATTAAAATTATATTTATTGTATATTTTTGTTATTAATTTATATAAAATATTATGAAAAAATGCTTTGTTTTTGATAAAATTAAAATTAATTTTTATTTTTTTATATAAATTAATAATAAAAAATACAATAAACACAATTTTAATATTAAAAAATTCCTCCACGGAATACCGTTGCAATCGGCAACTCCCAAGTCCAAAACCGGGGGACACTGTTGGGCGGCTGCCGCCAATAAGGTTTCCACCGTAAGATCAAAGTATTTGAAATAGCCGTTGAGGAGACAACGACCGTTGATCTCAGCCTAGGCGCCCCTAAGAAGTTTGGTCTTGTTAGATAGGGACTGGGAAAAATCCCAGCCATACACGTCTCAATCTTGTGGGGCCCACAATTTTTTTATGTATCGATGACCTCAGATGCAGGAACGGCCGAGATCAACACGATTACGATTTTTTTGTTTTTTTTTTTTGTGTAAAGATTTT